TGGGGGAAAGTATATGAGGAGGCAGAAGATACTGGCTGGTCTTCCCACCATCTAGTTTTTCTTCTAAATTAATGAGCATGTATTGTTTTTTGTATGCAAAGAATATAAAATACATAAATTATCTTTCAATGGTGAGTGGTAGCTCAAAGGTGCCCTCTCTAGCTGTGATGAGAAATGACACTACAGTATAGTAGTACATTATAGCCAAATGCCAGTCTTTCTCTAGTTCATAAATTAGCATGTGTTTGGGCATCTATTGTTTTTACGTCAAAAAATATGAGGAGACAGTCAAATACATATGTCAACCTGGTCCATCTTGTTGGTTGTAGGTAATAAATTACAATGTCAGTAATACATCTCCAGAGGGCCTGTTCTATAACAGTACTGCACAAGTTCAGTTAGCACTTGTTTCCAAGAACTCGTCCCCAGTGTTAAACTGTGCCTGTACTGTACACACATCAGAGAACAATGTTTGTAAATTTGCATCAGATTCTAAAAGTACACACCTGATAGTAATGTGTAGGAATACCCATCTAAAAATATTAGAAATACTTGTTGATCTATGAGATTCCATTCAGGTAAAAAACTTGCACTATTAGGAATTCTCCTATTAGTGTTAGGTATAGGTTGAAAATTGATCTGTTAAATTCCATACATTCTAGTGATAACTGTTTCACTTGTGATATATGTGAACAAGCAAGCTAATAATACATTATTTTATTTTATTAATACTGAAGATGAGAAAAATACATCATGTAACCAGATTTAAATACTGTATGTCGTCAGTGTCTCAAGAGATTAATGTATCAAAACTATAGACAGAAGGATCAAATATGCAGTCAATCATTAAAATTATTAGACATTAAATTTTGTTGTAGTATCCTCCTTTCCAAGAAGTCTGGTACAATGTTTTCATAAATCTAAATGACCCTCCTGAGAAATCAGATTCAGCACCAGCATAGGTGTCTTGAGATACAGAAAAAATCATTAGATATGAGAACTGAGCTGATAAACGCATGCAGAACCCACCAATGATGTAAAGTAGATCAATAGTTATTAAATTTTTTGTAGGAATCTTATATTTTAGGCAATTATCAGTTATAGGCCTTTTAATTTATCAATGCAAACAATAGTCCAGTATACTGTGAACAGGACAGACTAATATACTGTGAACAATACAGCCCAACACAGTGAACAATAGTCCAGAATACTGTGACCAATACACCCCAGTATGCTGTGAACAATACAGCCTAATATAATGAATAAAACAGCCCAGTATAGTATGAACATTACAGTCCAATAATCAGCGTAATGTGGAGAAAATGGATACAGGGAGAGAGACCAGAACCACTTAAATCAGTAGATTCAGCTCCACTACACAAAGGAGATAGCAAAGCATTGGCTAAAACTATAATTATGTGTGATGTTAGTGTAACTGGTCAGTTGCACTATCACATGTGCAAAGATGGTATCCTGTGGCACCTTCCCAGACAGAATGCTGAAAAGCCCGAAGAGGAATATGGTGAACCAGAAGTTGCCTTAAGGTCCATAGAGTCTGCATTCAATTGTCCCTGCAGCAGCGTACGGAATGAAACCAGAGAAACTGATACAGAGCCCAGAGACAAACCCTGCTCAGAAGTTAAACTACTTGCAGGCAAAATTCAGGCTTATGCACAGTCACTTGAGTAGCTATCGAGAAATCTGTAAACACTCCATCAACAGACGGATTTGTAAATACAAGTGCAGCAGAGCTGGCTGCAGCAAGGACAGGTAAGCCAACAGAATCCCACACCATACACAGGTTCAAACCTGCAACTGAACCAACTAGGACTTCCACCAGTTGATTGGGAGAAAACAAATCCCAGGACATGTAGACAAGCGAACTGGTTGGAAAGGACTGGTTCCAAATATGCACACAGAAATACCATCACATGAGACCAGAAGGCATGGCAGGACGTGTAAAAATAGCCCCTACTGAAAAGTAGAGGTGCAATAGGCATCTGACAACCCGTCCTCGACTCAAGTCCATTACATTCAGCGGTCATCCCCACAGACGCATTCATAAATTTTTACATGCTGTTCATTCAAAACGAGAATTTTCTCAAGTATAAATTAGTATTATAATATATTAGCATGTTGTGCATATATAGGCATAAGATAGGTTAGGTTAGGTGTTTAGGTTCTGTTGACGATTATTTGTATTTTTAGTACGTGGGTGAAGCATTTATAGCGTTGTGATTCGAACAAAATTCGTCAGTGAAGCACTTGTTCCGGATATGTTCGAACGTCAGCAGTTGTGAGTCGTGTGTAAACCGCTTTTCATTCATAAATAGGGGGTTCGGCGGGTGCATGGAATCACTTTTGGATCTTTGTTTGGAGGACGGGCTGCATCTGAAGAGGGAGCTGTCAACATCAAAGGCCCAAGACTTTCAAAACACTTTCCCTACATATACAGGGCAGAACTGGCCAACCTCTCCCAGTGTTCAAAAGAAAACTTGACAAGCACCTTCAAAGGATACCTGATCAATCAGGCTGTGACATGTACATCAGAATGCGAGCAGCCACATCGAACAGTCTGGTTGGTCAGACCAGCAACCAGGAGGCCTGGTCAGAGACTGGGCCATGGGGATATTAATCCACAAAATCTTCAACAGGTAGGTAGGTAGGGAGCCCAAACCAGCAACTCAAAAGATAGGGCATGACACAGACCCCTAACAAATGAAAAGCAATGCCTGGAGCCAAACCCTGCCCATGGAGAACACCATGCGGGCAAAGTTCAGGCTTCTGCACAACCGCTCGACCAACTGGTAAGTAATCCGGGTGCTATCCAACACCAGACGGAGATGAGCCCACATCTGCTTACTTATTAAGGCTTACCAGTCAATGACTACAGAGGAGTGAGATGACATGCCTCCTAGCTGTTTATACCTGGTGCACTAATGCTCTCTAAATAACATTTTCATAATATTCTGGGGAAGTTTCTTATGACTTCCTGAACCTATCTCGCCGAGATTGCTCTGAACTACTAGGTCACACCAGTCATGGAGTTCTATTTGGCCTACCGGGTACCAGAGCAATTACTTGGCCCCCCTCAGAGGTGCTGAAAGCAGGCAACACTGCCACCCTACTGGGAAATCATCCAGAAAGTCATTGAAGCAGTGTAAGAGAAAAAACTTGAAACTAGCTTGAGCACATTAGTACCAAACTGCTGCCACTAGGAAGGTCAGAGCCTCAGAGCTCCCCTAACCGTTTGAAGTCAGTTCTGGAGCAGAAGAAAAACCTAAAGTCACCAACAGATGAATCTGGTATGGAGAGAGTGAGTCAGGGAGCCACTGGAACTCCTCCAGAAAGGTGTGTTTCATGATATTCATTGCTGGGCTTTTCGGGAACCCCCTCGTGGTTCCCTGAAGCTAACTAACCATGACAGTAACACAAGGGACTTACCAGGGGTACTAAGGCGAAGCAAGAGACAAAAGGCCGACTGGGCCCAAGAACATGGACTATCAAACAGACCCTGTCAAGACCCTGTCAAGACCCTGTTAGTACCAAAAAAAAAAAAAAAAAAAAAGCCCAAAACTTTTGGAAAAAAGAAAAGTTGGAAAAGATGGCAGCAATTGCAGCATATTTCTAATTTCATGGGCACAAAGACAAACTGCAGGTTGGGTAGATGTAATAATACTGTGGACAATCTGAGAATGCAAACCTATGAATAGGGGACCAAGGAAGCAGGACTAACACACAAGGTACCCACCAAGACAACTGAAGGTAGCAGCAAAGAACTGCCACAGGACACAACAATTGACACCATTGGCTGAACCAATCAAGCATCAACAACCAAAAGACCCCACAGGAAACCAGCAAACAAACCGCCCACCAGAGCCAAAAGAGCAGAACTTGTGGAGAATAGAAATGAGGACATAGCTAAAACAATACGAACCAAATACACACCTGTGAGAAACCAGCCGGTCCTCATAAACAAAGGCCAAAGTACAATCTATGCACCCGCCCAACTTCTCGTTTATGCAGGCGATGAGTCACAATAATGTGGCTGAAGTATGTTGACCAGACCACACACTAGAAGTTGAAGGGACGACGACGTTTTGGTCCGTCCTGGACCATTCTCAAGTCGATTGTGAATAAAAATCTCGTTTATGAATAAAAAACGGTTTACACACAACTCTTTAACAGATGATGTCCGAACACTTCCGGGAACAAGTGCCTTGCTGACGACTTTTGTTTGAACCACAACGCTGTAAATGTTTCACCTTCATACTACAAATAATTGCCAACAGAACTTAAACACCTAGCCTAACCAATGCCTAAATATGCACAGTATGCTAATACATATATAACAATATTAAATTATATTTTAGAAAATTCCTGTTTTGTTAACAATGTTAAAATTGATGAATGAACTTTTGGAGTCATCCGCTGGATGGAATGGACTTAATCTGAGGATGGGCTGGAGAAACGGAAAGCTACCGAGCCTGAGCGGGCAGTTCCCATAGTGGTGTCTAGCTGTAAATAAGGGGGGGTTGTGACCTAACTTCTTGGTGCATCATTTTCTGCATGGTTTGTTTCTTCAGTGAGGGTAATCATGAATCCTCTGCTCTGCTCTGCCCACCAGTAAGTGGGAGGGGCCAAGTTTTGTCCTCTGGCAGGCTATTAAGGACTCTTAGGGCTAATGTGACTCATGTGTGGGGCTATCTCAGTGCAGTTAACTACAGGGAGCCACCATTTGGCCCCACTAGATAAACATGCATGAGCACAGACTTGTATAAAACTGAATGTTGAATACATTAAACTGAAGAATAGTGTAAATCTCTTCCTCATGTAAAAACTGTTTGTCAAAACCTTATTTGCAGAACCAGGAGTCTAAATGCAATTTATTACCAGATAAATTTTATCAAACATAATATTTTAAGATATTTTAAGAAAAATTTAAGTGAAAATTATTGCAAACTCATGCACATATATGATGGAGGTAATTAAAGACTTTATGGGCATGTTACCATAAGCTAAGTAACTTAAGTTTTACTACACTTGAAATTTTGTTTACAAATATGACAATAGTATAAAAATATACAAGATAAATATCCTCTGACATGACTAATAAACAATCTCACAAGTTTCCAGTCACACAAGTACAAAATACTGTACAGTACTTTTTCCTCTCCAACTGTCTCTGATCTCGCCTTGGGCTTGGTAACACTAATGCGTGTCACTGCACCTCCTGCAAGCACAATAAAATTTTTTTAATTTATATAAAAAAAGAATAATGCAATCTAATATCATTTACATATATCTGAGAAGAAAGAAAGGAAAAAATCTGACTGGGACTCTTATGCCCCCCATCAGATTTTCATTGGTATATCATGCCATTGTGATTTCAGTGCAATCGGACTAGGCCGCAAGTGTGTGAATTCCATTAACATAGACCTGAATATGGCTGTGTTTGCTAGAAAACACTGGTTGGGCCACAGTTTGGGGTCTCCAGAACTTCCCAGAGGACTTGGTAGAGTTCTGGGTTGGTCAGCTTTCGTACCACTGTGGCCGAGCGGTTAAGGCAGGCATCTGGGAATTGCCAGGTCGCAAGTTCTAATTACTACATTGCCTCAAAATTATTGATTTACTTATAATGAATATGCTATATTCGTTGAATAATATGAATATGCTGGCAGTGTTGAAGGCATTAAGGGCCAGAGCAGCATAAGGGTTAGAGGGGGAAATGACAGGTACTTTTTATGGAAAACAAATAGCTTGGTAAATACATTTAAATTTTATCACATAATAAAAGAGAAAGTAAAGTTTAAAGTTTACCATTAGAAGTCAGCATGACTGTAGCATAATCAAAGGAATTAGCATGGACAATCCTCCTATTATGTAGCACAGCTCAGCACCAACTGACCAGAAACCTGAGAAAAAGATGTACAAGTTTTAATGGATGTGCAATGAAAATACTTCTTTCCTTGACTGCTGATATATTCCAGTTAATCAATCCAAAGGGACAAATACTGCAGCGTGTGTGAATGAGCAAAATGTTATTTATTAAGCCAAGATGACACCATTACAGTAATACATTTTATATAAAAATATTTTTAAGAAAAACATGTTGATGGTGCAAGACACTTCAACCCCCCAATTCATCTCACAAAAGAATTCTACAGCTTTAATATTATCATCTTACTGCTTACCGTAATTTATTGGTTAATATTAAATAAAGCTCCATGAATGTATCTGAAGATTACAATATTAACACTGGTGCTTTGGGCCTGTTGGGTGATCTGTGCGTCATGGCCTCTGGTCGTGGACTCGCTTTTGGTTGCCCGGGTTCCCTTTCTTCCTTCCTGTTCCAGGGTTCGCGTCTCCCTGGTTGTTCGCAGGGTTTTTCAGTTTTGCCAGTTGTCTTGATTTTGGGTTTAGGGCGTGTGGCATCTGCCTCCTGGGCCCTTCCCTCTTTTTCCTTATCTTTGGTGAGGTAGCTCCAGGGAGCCGACAGGGCTCTCCCCAGAAAGCCAGTGTTTTTGCGTTTTTTTGACATCCAGCCTAAGAACTGCTGGTTGGATCGCCGGCGTGAGGGTTTGGGGGTCCCCCCTAATCCCCCCCACCAAGGGAGGGGGGGGGGGTTGCGCAGACAGCGGCACGGCAACGTGAAGACATCATGCTCGTTTGCTAATTTTCGTTTGGGGAGGTCTGTCCACTCATTCGGCTTTCGGTAGCAATATTTTCATCAGAATAGGGGTTTGTTTTGGGGCGCCTACATTTCTGGGTGCCTGACCGGTCGATGGTAGACATAGAATGCTCCCAATCACACGGAGGGGTTTCTATAGGCCATTGTTCCTCATGCCTCTCTGAGAAGGGTGGGTCTGGTTCTGGGTCGTGGTCCCTGGTAGACAAGAACTCTATGCTGTGATGCCAGAAAGCTAATAGTTACTTATCAGCCTGGATAGCTCCAGGGAGCCAAAGTGGCTCCTCCCAGAAAAAAACATTTTAGTTATGATGTGTGTTTGCTGGGATTGCATGTTTTGAGGGAGGGAACAGGAATAAGGGAAAGAGACAGACAGCTTTGGGCACTGATGGGTATCTCTTTCTAGTGCTATTGTGTGGTATTATGCTTGTAAATATTATGCTTGGTGTTAAATGAATAGCTTGTAATGAGAACTATGCATTTTCTAAACCCAGGTAATTTGAAGGTTCACTGTACCAAACACATCACTAGTGTTGTTTTTAAATGCTCTACAAATACTGTTTACTATGGTCTTTAAAAATGTTGTGTACTGTGTAATACAATTAACAAAAATATTTTGTGCACTTACCTATAGATGTTACAACTGGTCCTATTGCTCTTGCTAAAGCTCCTAAAGATCTCCAAATGCCCAACAAAGTGCCTTTATGAGATTCTGAACCATGGCAGGATGCTAGTGCAGTAAGACACGGGACCATCATGGATGAACCTGCAAATTGATGCTCATATATTATCCAGTTTTAATAATTTCACTAGTCCTAATTTATATAGTTAAAACTCAAATATCAAGGAAGTAATTCAGTTAGAATGCTACTTCATATTATTAAGTAATGCAGGAGAAAATTATAAGACAAGGTTCTTGATACCTCTTCTCAACATTGTGCCAGTCATGCCCAAATGATTTTTTGATTTGTTAAATTTGTTAAATTGTCACTTTAAAAAAGTTATTTTTTGTTTAATTTGGCCATATTTTAAAGTTTTTTAATGTTTTCATCGCTCTTTGTGATTTGAAATGAAAATGATTGCCAAAAATAGGTGCACAGTGCAGGGGTTAGTTTGGTGGCCAGCCTCCTTTAAAGCAATGGTCAGAGCATGGTTTCTTTACTTAGTTCCATGGTAGATGCCATAACAACAATGTAAAACCACAAGCACCTCTAAAATGTGTGTAAAACAAGGCAGGGTGGTAGAGCAAGATGTGGCATATAACCACTCACCATGACGGCCTGGAAGTACCTGTCGGCAGCTAACGGATGTAGTGACAGCATGTACCTGCCACATACTTCTGTCTAAAATCTTTCACACAATACCGTCATTTTTTGTTTTGTTTTCCATAAGTTTGAGGTGCTTCGTGCAGGGCGCTGTATATGTTTGAAGAGTAATATATAAGTCTTCCTGATGAACAATAGGCCAAATCGCATACATTAAAAATAGCTTTCAGAGCAATAATTGGTGTTCCTTGGGTTGCTAATTATTGCTCGACAGTTGTTTTGAGAGTGTGGGAGTGTTTGTTCTGACTTGTAGCGAGCCAGTTGATTGGTGGTTGAGTAAAATAAGACTACTATCTTCCTACTCAAATTACATAGCAAAACCAATTGAAGTGTTATTTATGATGGTTGGGTGGATGATTTGGCTGTTCACTTTAGGAGCAACATAGAAACCTTAGCTCAAAGAACACCATGTGGCCAATCGAGTTGATGCCATATAGTTTAAACCAATGAGTTTCTACACTTACTCGTGCATCACAATAAGACATTCAGTGGCAGCTAAAAGCCAAACAAAGCTCATATTAATGGACAAACTCCAAACGTTATTTACACCACTAGTGTATGTCTGTGGGATGAGTATTGTGATAGTATATGAGAACTGTGAAAGGGCTCCATAACTCCAATGAAATGTGGAGTTATGGACTGTGAGTAAAGAGCAATATACCGAGTTGGTATGTACATGTTAGTAGCATGCCTGATAATTCTTTAAAAGAGAAGGGTGTACAAGAGTGAAATAAGATAATATGGTACAGAGATAACCAGCATCTTGGAAGGGATGAGTGGAACAATATATGAACGGGTTGGTGGAAGTGATGGTTAGTGAGCTTGAAAGAGGTTTGTTGTGATAATGTCTCCTGGAAAAAACTTCATCTATGTGCACCCTTAACAGAGCTCCCAAGAGAGATTAAGATGTTAGGGCTATAGACTGAAAGCTAGAACACTTTACTAAGTCCAGCTACTCACCTAAAGCATAGAAGGTCAGTCCTGTATAAAGACCCCAGTTTGTCTCACTGGCACCAATTAAAATGAAGGCAGGTATCATCATCATAAGACCCTGGAATGTTCATTCTGTTCAGTTTAACTCAAATATATTCTTGCAGCCATTTAAAATTATTTATACCAACATGTACTGTTACTGAGAAGTAATTTAACAAAATTAAAATTAGAAGTAAAATAACATATTAAACACTAGGATAAATGTACATGATGTTACATATATCATTAATGATTGAAAATGAAGATTTTAGTATACTGTACCTTGTTTGCCATGGATTTTTCGCTTCCATCTTTTACCCGTCGTACATAACCTCCCTGCATTAAAGCCATAACTACGCCTAAGAAGGAAAACATACGGCCTTGTGCCATAGAATCATAGCTGTGTTTATGATGGGTCACAAATGTTAGAGTAAACTCCAAGCCAGAATAGAGGAACAGGTATATGAAGTACACGTGCCCCAGCCGAATCAATTTTGCTCTTTCTGAAAGACAGGTACAGTACATTGTCGAAAGTTGATGCATTATACATTGCAAAAATCTAGTATTGAATGTAATGAAATGCCTCTTGCTGGTGGGTCCTAGGTGGTTCTTTGATGCTAGCTTCCTGGATAATCCCACCAAATTCAATTTATGTCATACCCTTGTGAGTCATTATAACCTACCAGGGGACCAGAGGCCAAAACCTGACCCCAACTACAGAGGTGTGAGGAACCAAAACAAACAGCAATGTAAACAAATCCAAGAAAACAAGACCCTGAACTGAGTAAAGCAAGTCATAGAGCAGTTCACTCATTAATTACACCTGCACGCCACCAAGTGGCCAAGTGCCTAACTTGTAGATCCCTCAACTAGAAGCCTCAGTAATTAGCCAGGAAGACAAAAACCAAAAGCCCTGAAAAGGTAGCGCCCACCAGAAAGAGACATTTCATTACAGTCAATGCTGGTTTTCTGGGAGGCTCCTATAATGGGTCATTGATGCCATGTCATCCCAAAGAACAAAACAAAAGGGGAACACACCAGGGATAGAGAAGACACAGAAAGAAACCCTATGAAAGAGGGAAGTAGTGGCAAGAGAACTGCTCTATAACCACACAAGCCCAGCAAAGACCAGGAACATTCACCAAGGAATGAGTCACCAGCACACTGCCAAAACCCTGGAGTCTAACAATCTAATTGGGACAATTTTTAAAGAAATACAGGTAGAGCCTCAAATTTATGTGCCAATGGGTAGACAATAAGCTGGCTAAACATGACAACAGATAACCCAAGACAAACAGGCCTTGGAACAACAAACAAATGATGCATCCCTGGTCAAACCAACTATGCATCAATCACCTAAGAGCCCTTCCAGAATCCAGCCTATTCAACAATAGCTAGAAAGAAAGGAGAGGCACAGGACCACGGGGACAAAAACCCTGAGGACAAGCAATGAAGAGAAAAAGCTGGAAAGTGCGCCAAGAACCCACATACTGTTGCCACAATGAAACGCTTGAAGAAGAACTTCATGGACCTTCGAGGGGCCCATGACGCCCACACATTAAAGGATCCCTCTGAAAACTGACCATCTAACATTTCACGAGGAAAGGAGGAGAGGGCTGCAAACCAAGTCCCTGCTTCCGGAAGAAAGCATGAAGCTCCCTACTCTGACAACCAGAAGCGAGGGCCAGCAACAACAACACCCTTGAAAAAAGTATCATGGATTGAAGGGGCAACCAAAAAACAAAAGGACAAAATAAAGACTAACACCCAATCCTGAGATCATGGTGGCTCAGAAGAATGAGCTGGCTGAAGGTGAAACAGGCAAGAGACAATTTACTGAACAGCGCTGATGAAGTATTGATGCCAATTGTTAACAAAAGCAGCTCTACCAAGGAGAAATGATAAAAGGCAACAGTATTAGGCATGAGATGCTAATCCAGAAACCACGGTTGAAATAGATGGCAACTCATGAAAAAATACAAATAGTGCAAAGAAACTTCGTGCTGTTGCTGTCATGAAGGACATAGGTGGGATACCTAACAAGCCAGCCACTGCACACCATACAGATAGTGATAGACCTGTTCAAAATACTCAAGATGTGAAGGTTGGAAGAGAATATCGATCCAGGAAGGAACATCTCCAGGCCGATCTCCAGAAAGAGGCAGAGCCGTGGAAAAAATTCCAGGGGTCAGACACCAGACCAGAAGAACCACAGAGCCAGAAGGATCATGCTGACCATACAAGTCTCAAGTCTAGACAAAACCTAGAATAACAGCTAAACTGCAGAGATGATGTAAAAGAGCCCCAACCTCAACCAGACCAGCTGAAAGGTATCCACCTTGAGAGCCACACTATCAGGTAACAGAATCACAGAAGCTAGCAGTTGCAAGTTCCATGTCAACATGAAGAGGTCCACCTTGGAGTGACTGAACTTTCCACAGAGTGAACAGAAAGACATGTCATGGGATAGTCCACTTCATGGAAGTGGGACAGAAACGAGACCATCTGCGAGAACACTGGACACATCCAACACAGGAACTACACAGAGAAATAAACACAGCGGGGAAGGCAGGACCAAAGAGACGAAGCTCAATCCCCGCAAGTACAACCAGGTGAGTACAGAGAATCTAACAGTCGAGTTACCTGCAGAGACCAGCTCCAAAGAGGAAAATACTGAAGCAACCACTATGATTCAGACAATGAACAACTGGAGCGCAATCTGAATGGAGTCAGAGAAGCCCAGTAGAAGATGACCCCCTCCTCACAGAGCCTGCTTCACCACCATAAAAAAAAAAAAAAAATGAAGGCCCAGTGAATCAAAACATTGCAGGCCTTAGGGTAGATGGCGATTCCCATCTAACAGGTGGTAGAGGTTTGTGGCAAAAGTGAAGGGACATCCCTCAATCTTGCAAGTAGTGAGTGTGGGGCTTAGTGGGTTGATCCATGACAAACCACACCTGTCAGAGGCTGTAGGCAAGACAAAGCAGGACATCCAAATATCAAGACTCGCTGAAAGAACCAATATTGAACGCAGCCTACAGGATAAACATGGTCCCAAAGATCAACACCATGCCATATGTACAGGCACACCCTTAATACACCCCAGAATGTCCCAACAATCCCTCGTAGAGGAGTCACCTGCACCTCTGATGAGGGCCAGGTTCTCGCTCTGGTCTCCAGTATGCTATTAAGGACACCTAGGGTTGATGCAACTCGTGTGTGTTGTGTGTGTGGAGCTATCTTTGTGTGGCTAGCTACAGAGAGCCACCATTCAGCTTCTCTAGAAAGCCCAAAGGCTAAGAGGAAGCTAGAGCAGACACACAGTGCATGCACCCAATGGGCCTAGCGGTAGCAAAAATGGTAGTACATACTGAAAGAACCAGTATAATGCCTGGAGACAAAAACTGCCCATGAGATATACTAAACAGGCAAAGTTCAGGCTCCTGCAGATGCTGCTTGAAAAGCATCGTTTCTGGATGAAGGCTCAGCCAGTATGGAGATCCAAGGATGACAGACTTCGCAGGCCTCCAGGTGGAAGATATCGCCCATGCAACAGGTGGTATGGTGGAGGCAGTAAGAATGGACATTCATCAAACTTGCAACCAGTGATTGCACGCTCAGTGGGCTGACTAATCCTGAATAACATCAAAGACCACTAAGGTTTTTCAGGATTTGAAGGTAAAGACAGGGCAGGGATCCCAGGCACAGGGGGGTCGATATTAACTGACATTTAATGCAGCCTAAAACAACATGAGGCAGCTGCAAAAGTGTCACCAGCATGCAGTACAGTATAAATTAGCACATGCCCTCTTGTGCACTAAGAAACCCTGATCATCCCCAACCTTGCCTCACAGGAGTCACAAACCCTTGCACTACTTAGGGGGAAGCACTTTACACTGGAAGCTGGCTTCTCAGGGACAGACACCCGAACTCACCAGGAAAATGAACCCCTTTCAAGATTAAGCAACTTAGGCCCCCAAATATACAGTCCAAAGAATGGCTAACACCCATCTGGAAAATAATGTGGGCTCTGAAGGGTTTCTAGCAGCTAGAATTAGTCAGTCATAGTTGACAGCAGGCAATTGATTGAAGTGGTTCACTGGATAGAACCAGTAGTTCCCCACTGCTACCACCTGGTAGTGGGCAGCTGCTAGTGAGTGGACAACCTAACTGCTGGGTGGATCCTTTCCCGATTCGTTTACATTTGCCTTGCTGTTTGTTTTGATTCTCTACATTTCTGATGGTTGTTCATTTGGTGAAGGTGATCATAGATCTGCTGCTCTGTGCATCTCTTTGAGAGGGCCAGGGTTTGGCTTCTGGTCTATATACTTGGAGAGAAATCATACAGTAACAGACAGTGTGCCTTTCAAACAGGAAAATCTTGTATAACAAATATACTTAGTTTTTATAAGAGTCACACAGATTCCACAGGAAACAGATGGTTGGATTGACTGTTTATCTGAACCTAAAAATGCTTTTAAAAACAGTCCCACATGAGGTTGTTCTGGAAACTGGAACAAGCTGGAGGGATGACATGCAAACTGGAGGGATGACATGGATGAAACATTTTCTGACAAAAAGATGAGGTGGTAATCTGAGGCAATTGATTAGACTAGAGAAGTGTTACTGATGGAGTACCACAGGGTCCAGTTCTTGCATCAGTAATGTTCCTCATCTATATAAACCATCTACCAGCAGGAATACAGAACTACATGAACATGTTAGCTGATGATGTTGAGCTATTGGGGAAGATAAGAGACTTAGACAATTGTCATGCCCTTCAATGTGACTTATACATAACAAGTGTATGGAGCAACACTTGGCAAATGGAAATTCAATATGAATAAATGCCATGTTATGGAATGTAGAATAGGAGAAAATAAGCCATACACAAACTAAAAATTATGTGAAAAGGTATTCAATAATTCTGCCAAAGAAAGAGATCTAGGGTTGGTTCTGGATAGAAAATTGTCACCCAAGAATCACATAGAGAACACTGTGAGGAACCTATGGCTATGCTTTCCAATTTCATGATCACTTTAAATACATGGATGGTAAAATATTAAAGAAATTGTTCATGACCTTTGTGAGACAAAAATTAGAATATGCAGCAGTTTTATTGTGCCCATATCTCAATAAGCACATTAATAAACTTTAAAAAGTGCAAAGGCATGCTACAAAATGGCTTCTGGAACTGAAAAACAAGAGCTACAAGCAGAGGCTAGAGGTGTTAAATATGCCAAAGCTAGTTGATAGAAGAGAAAGAGGCAATACAGTATAATAATTACATACAAAATGTAACAGGAATCGACAAAAGTTATGAAGCGGAATTCTTGAAACCTGCACTTTTAAGAACAAGAGGTCATCGATTAAAGCTAAGGAAAATAAATTGCCAAAAAATATAAGAAAGTTCTCTTTTGCAAACAGAATAGTAGTTAGTTGGAACAAATTAAGCGAGAAGGTGATGGAGCCCAAAACCAAGAGTACAGTAGTTTCAGTGTCATATGACAAAGTACAATACTGGGAAGACAGAGCACCACGAGCATAGCTCTCATCCTGTAAGTACATTAACGTAATTACACTTAGATAATTACATTTATTTGTTTAAAGCACTGTCATGTACAAATGAACAATAATATTCTTAAAAGAGCAGCAATATTTACTGATTACTCCTTACCCTCCTTTTCAAGTCCTTTGACAGGACTGAAGGAAAACAGTGACTTTGGGTTGATAAGCTCCCAAGCCTGAGACAATCCAGAGGCAACTGATGTCCTCCTCTTTGTCTGAAATAATATAAACATAAAACGCACTAACATTTTTATTTTAAATATATTAAGGTATTTTATTAAAACTAGAGGAGAAACTCTTAATATGCAGAGGAAATGCATTCTGGGAAAGTGGCAATCAAAGTGCACATATTAAATGCTCAATAACATGGGTGAAAAAAACAAGGTTGAATGTAATGAAATGCCATTTTCTGGGCGAGTCCCGGAGGCTTCCCAGAGTTATACCGGGTTGATATACTGGAGTTCTAGGCCTTCAAGTCAAACAGTGGCCATGAAAACCCCAGCTGACCCCAAGGGTGGGCAATCAACGAGCAGCAAAAGCTATCCAGGCTGATATTTATATTATTAGGTTTTGGCATCAGTCAGTGTTAATGGAATTCTAGGCCTACCGGGGACCATGAGCCAGAACTTAGCCCCTCAGAGAGGCACAAGGAGCAATGGCCTATAGAAATGCATGTGTGATTTGGAGCATTCTATGTCTGCCATCGACTGGGCCAGGCACCCAGAAAGGTAAGCGCTTCAAAACATGCCCCTATTCTGGTTAAACTACCACTGGAAACTAACGAGTTTTCAGCTCCTTGCACCTCTTTAGAGGAGACCAGGTTTTGGCATCTAGTTCTTGGTATGCTAGACTTGCAATAGCCTGGTGTGGATTGAATATGGTGGAGCTTTGCCAGGTAGCAACCAGGGAGCCCTTCCAGAAAAAAGTGTTAACATCTTAGGTGTCACTAAGTAGTCATGAGAGGCTCATAGCGTTTATGGTTGGATGCACAGCAAAGGGTCAGAATGCTAGCATTAACAATTCTATACAGTATATTCTTTACAGAGGTAAGCATCTACAAATGTGGCAACAGAGTAAAGACTAATTGTGTGTATGATTGATTAATTCATGTTATGCACCTGACCGAGAGATGTTACTCGAGTCTCTGTCACTAAAAGAGCAAACGTCACTTTACATTTTTTATGGAGGTATCTTAGGATAAGTGAGAACTTTTAAGATGTTTGGGAGATGCCATGATGCATGCAGGAATTTTAAAAAGCAAATAAACAGCAAAATTGTAGTCAATAAGGGTTAGGCATACTGTATTATCAGTATGGTAAAGTGATACTGGCTAACAAACACCAGTCCTCCAGAGCCACTACCGTAACAAATCTAAATCTATGGAGCTGTCACCATCTCTCAAACACTTGCTTCACCTGAACAGAGCAAAACAAAACTGAGAATCTCATCACTCTGTATGCTCTTATAGAAACAAGTGCTTAGAATAAACAAAATACATAAACTAAGTGTATAATATACATTATTATTCTTTGTATGTGACATTTGGGAACATATTCATTAAAGGAAAATAACCTACCTCTGGTAAAGTCTCTTTGAAGAAGATGTAAAAATAAACTATGTTGCAGAGAGCAAGAGAGAGCGCATACACAGCAGAAGCTGCAAACCAGCCAGTGCTTCCCCAGCGGGAGAATACGGCTCCCACTGCAGGACCAATGGTAAACCCAACACTGAATGCAACTCCTATTAAGGCCTGGGAAATAAAGTACATTACATTACACTAGAGAAACAATATTAATACAAGACTAGTTTAAACTTTGTTAAAACTAGATCTTAGTTTTAAAACTCAAAATGTTCATCCTAATTTAAACTCTCAAAAACTATCCTAATTATTACTACTAATAATAATAAAGTAACAATATTTTAATTATAAGATACATAAAGGGTCATATGATAGTGATTATTTAATAGGTACAGTATTTGAAGCTTTTATAAAGGCACTAATTGAACATAGCATTTTGAGCATAACTTAAAATAATGAGTGAATTTGGTTGTAAATTGATTAAGGCAACACTCAAAAAATTCAATTGGGTTGTAAATTTATTAGGGTAACACTCATCAGCCGACATTAATGATTAATGGATATCCTCTTTAAAATTAAACTATGTATTTGCTAGAGCATTCCCACTCACAACTGCTTAAGAAATAGCCAGCCAAGTCTGGCTAATGCTACATAGCTGTTTATCCTTCACTTACTTCATTGTTTTCTAGTTAATGACAAATTTCTGAACACAGTAATTGCACACTTTAAATATTTACATAAACTTACCATCCCTTTGGCTCTTGATTTTTCATCAGAGATGTCAGTCATAACGGAGTAAGCAAGAGATACATTTCCTTTAGTCGTGCCTCCAATGATCCTGGCCAATACAAACAAAGTAAAGTTGCTAGCTACTGCCCACATCCCATATGAGACGGCAACTCCTATCTGAAACAAAATGCCTGTTAGGTTATCAATACCTTAAGTGTAAGTGTAAACAATTGTTTAACACCTTTTTATATCCCATGTGTTCAGCAATCATAATCTTCAGAATTTTTAACCTAAAAAAAATAAAGTAATTTTAACTGGATGTACTGCTTATCAAGTTTATTTTATCATCATCTACTAATGGTCATCCCCTTTAACCCTTCAACTGTGTCACAATCAGGGATGTATTCAATAACCGCCTAAGATTTAAAACTCCCATGAATGCATGAGGCTCACATTCGCTTCTTAAGGCCTCCAGTAAACAGATGCCAATTTGGAAAATAATTGTAGGCACCCCTCTTGGGTGTCAAGGTCTTAATACTAACAAAGCAACCATGTGCTGTGCATAGAGCAGCAGCTCACAGCACCATTATGCAGCTCATGCCCACAGCATCATTTAACCCTTAAACTGCGCATAGCATATATATATACGACAGGAGTAACGTGTCCCACCATGCGCATGGCATACATATATGACGGTGACGGCCACAATTCAAATGGCCCACGGCTACACGGGGGTTCACATCAGCTTCCTCAGGGCTCTTGTAAACAGATGCCGTGTTTAAAAAAATCATGGGCAATATTCTCCGATGTGAGAGCCTCAGTACTGAGTAAGCAACCAAGGCTGGTGCACGCAGCATGAGCTAACAGCACTGCTGTTCAGCTTGTGACCACAGCATTGCCTAAAAATGTCCAAATAAATATGTAACTGCTATTATTTAGCGATGACAGTATTACAGAAGACTCCCGACTGTGACAAAAATGACCAGAATTGTGATAATAGCAGGAATGTTGTGAGAATTAGTACTGTGTGGGAGGAGTAATGTTGAGGGAGGGAGAGTAGTGTCGTCTGCTGAATCTGTGTGGACACCTGTTGTTTGCACTCACCATACCAGCTTAGTGGTTCGCTATAGTGAACACAAATGTAGATACTTATATATAATGTGCATATTAGTGTAATAACAGCAAAAGGAGTATGTTGGGAGGAGGCATTTTAGTGAGGGAGGTGGTGTCATCTGTGTCAGGAATGGGGGTGTGTGGTAATGAATTTTAAACGTTGTCTAGGGAAACAGAGGCTTTTTCTTAAGCCAAGGGAAGATCAAGGAGTAGGGAAACAGCCAAGTACAAAAGACACAAATTTATATGTATAAGACACTATATAACATATGGCAATAACTGTACTCCTTACAATTCAACTCAATCCGAAGATAACAACCTGGTTAATAAAACTCCAAAATGGGCTCTGGACACCCTATGGCTCTCGGTCCCAAACCTGGAACTGTGCACACAGCCACCACACCTGCCCACCGGTGACACACAAATATAAACCACTAGGAAACCTTGGCACTCACAGAAAACAGCACCATAGACTGCCTGAGTACTGTACCCTATCTTGCAACCCTGTTAAGATGAAACTATGGCTTTTCTGACTGTACGGCCGGAGAAAAACCCTCAGTAAGCAAAGGCCTGGTCGTCAACATTCCACCTCCCCTCATGTCATAGATGGTGTCCACCACTTTTGCGTCATTACCCTTTAATACTCTATTCTTTACAATTGCAATCAAACCTTTATTGACTTCATTTACCATATTCCCCATGCGTGCTTTTTGACCGAGTCCATTTTTCCCTCACATAGTTCGGCTATTCTGGTACACATTATTCCTAAACAATCTCCAGCTGAGAAGGTACTACTTTGCTTGGCAGAGTATTAGTGGTGACTCGCGACCTCCCTGATATCAGCTGCAGATTTATTTCAAAAAAACATTCTCCAATGTGTCCACCAACAATTTATAATAAGTACTAACCTCCACAGGAGGTAAGGTTTGTAACAGTCTGCATGACTTGCCATGCTGTGTAGAGTGGCCACTATGCTGTTTGGGCACCATACCAGCTTGGTTGTACAGTTATGGTGAACAAAACACAATGATACTTATATACAGTATAACGTCTGTATATAGTGAATAAAAGCAAAACCTATATGGTGGGAGGAGGAATATGTTGGCGAGTGAGGTGTTGAGGGAGGGAAGGAAGTGGCGTTTGCTGGTTGGGTGTGGCAGCCCACTCGTTGGTGTTTTGACTCACCATACCAACTTGGTGCTTCGTTATGGTGAACAAAACATGCAGATACTTATAACCTGTGTATATAGTGTAATAACAGCAAAACTATTTGTTTATTATTTTATGAACATAATAATTGAATCACTAATATGCACACCATAATTTTAAGTATAGTGATGGTTCACACATTTTATTATATAAATACAATAGACAGTTTTAGGGACCCAGAATTTGGGGTGTTGGTCGCTTCGACCTTGGCTTTGCCCGCTCCCCCGATTCCTTTCCTGCTGGCAGTGGTTAGCCCTGCTCCTTTACCCTGTTCCCGGCTCCAAAACGTCTGAGGGTTTCGTAAGTTATACAGTATCATCATCATAGCTTCAGGGAGCCGCCACGGCTTTCCCAAAAATAGGCTGGTGCTATTGGCAATACCGATGCCAATGCATTGATACACCTTAAGTTAGGAAAAGTGTGTTTAGCAATATTTCACCCAAATCCCCATTAAAACAAATACATCAAGGGGGTCATACCAGAGAGCAAATAAAGATAGGCTTGCGTCCATACACATCCGACATAGCTCCAGTTATGGGCGAGGCTAAGAACTGTAGAAAAGAAAACAATGACCCCAACAGACCTGTGTAGAGAGAAGGAAATTAAAACATTTTAAATACATAAATGAATCATTGTTCTTGTTTCCATTTCAGATATTATATACTGTTGCGTTGAATGTAATGAAATGCCATTTTATGGGTAAGACCCGGAGGCTCCCTTGGAGCTATCTGGGCTGATATGAATGTATTAAGACCATGGCATCAGTCATGCAAATGAATTTCACCACACCACTCGCAGGACTCGTGGTCTAAGGTGTCACCGACCCTACAGGCAGCATGACAGAGGCAGAACTGGTGATTGTCACCCTGAGACAAGGGAACAGAGCAACCTTCAAAGATGTACAAAGCAAGATGGGACCCATTGGGATGCATCCATTGGACCACTGAGCCCCAGTGGAGGTTTCCAGGGTCCTTAGATGCTCTGCTAAGGGAGGCCCAGGCAATGCACTGCTAACAAGGTAAGGCCTAGGCAAGGTGCATGCATTACATCACCTTCATTTAAAGTGGTATTTTTTTGGCCCTTGCCTCCAGCTGTTGGCTTGGGGAGCTTCGTGTTCTCCTCTGGAGGAGGGTGTTTTGCTCATTTGGCCCTGACGGGTGGTTTTTTCATCTGCAGCTGTCTTCATTTCTGTCGCAGAATGAGTTGGCAGGCTTCTGCAGGAGTCCTTTGGTGAGTAATGCTTGGTTGGTTCAGCTGAGGGTGCATAATTTGCTATGTCTGGTAGCGGTCTTCACGTTCCCTTTCACTCCTGCCTTTCGCACTATGTCTGGTAGCGGTCTTCACCGTTACCTGCCACTGACTCTGCAACAGTGGATGCCTTGTGAGTTGATCCTGTTTCCTTGGTTCCTAGTTCCAAGGATCACATTTCCCAGGTTGTCTAGTGTTACTGAGCCTATCCAACCTGTGGTCTACCCTCAAGCCCATGGTGTTTGCAAATATGCTGCTCTTGCATAAATGTATTTTAATCCATCATGTCTTGGGCCAATATTCAGGGTCGTGAATTTTGGTAATCTAACAGGGTTATGTGGCCCGGTATTTGATCAGTGTCCCTGCCCTCATTGTTCTTGTGTTGCTTTAGGTATTGTTTTCCATCCCTCTCCTTTGCTTTGGAGAGGGATGGAGACCTGCCATCTCTCCTCTTCTGTGGCACAAACATACACACACATACATACATACACTGCATATATATTTTATAATTCATTCACATGAGGGGAGAGACTAGAGGCATTTACTTTATATATATATGTCAATCAACTGGTGTACAGATTCCTGAGCCTACTGGGCTCTGTCATATCTACATTTGAGGCTGTGTATGGAGTCAGCCTCCACCACATTACTGCCTAATGCATTCCACCTGTTAACTACTCTGACACTGGAAAAGTTCTTTCTAATGTCCCTGTGGCTCATTTGGATAGTCAGTTTCCACCTGTCCCCCCTTGTTCGCGTACCTCCTGTGTTAAACAGTTTATCATTATCTACCCTGTCAATTCCTCTGAGAATTTTGTAGGTAGTGATCATGTTTTATGAACAGTGATCATGAACTTTTATGCCCGAAACGCTTTACGTAATAGTGGCTTTAGGCATTGTATGTACTAGCTCTACCTATAAGTCAAACAATCCTTGTAAATATTTATTGTATGTATGTACCTTACCTAAATAAAATTGTATTGTATTGTATTGTATTGTATGTCTCCCCTTACTCTTCTGTCTTCCAGTGTCGTGAGGTGCATTTCATGCAGCTTTTCCTCATAACTCATGCCTTAGTTCTGGGACTAGCCTAGTGGCATACCTCTGAACTTTTTCAAGCTTCGCCTTGTGCTTGACAAGGTACGGGCTCGATGCTGGGGCCGCATACTACAGGATTTGTCTTACATATGTGGTAAACAAGATTCTGAATGATTCCTTGCACAGGTTCCTGAAGGCAGTTCTGATGTTAGCCAGCCTCGCATACGCTGCAGATGTTATTCTCTTGATGTGGGCTTCAGGAGACAGGTTTGGTGCGATATCAACTCCTAGATCTTTCTCTCTGTCCATTTCATGAAGGACTTCGTCTCCCATTCTGTATCCTGTGTCTGGCCTCCTGTTTCCACTGCCTAGTTTCATTACCTTACATTTACTCAGGTTGAACTTTAGCAGCCATTTGTTGGACCATTCATTCAATCTGTCTAGGTCATCTTGTAGCCTCGTACTGTCTTCCTCCGTCTTAATCCTCCTCATAATTTTTACATCATCAGCAAACAATGAGAGGAATGATTCTATACCATCTGGAAGATCATTTACATACATAAGAAACAGTATGGGTCCAAGGACTGAACCCTGCGGGACTCCACTGGTGACGTCTCGCCAATCTGAGACCTCACCCCTGACAGCGACTCGCTGTCTTCTGTTACTTAGGTACTCCCTCATCCAATGGAGTACATTCCCTTTCACTCCTGCCTTCATCTCCAGCTTTCGCACTAGTCTCTGGTGTGGTACTGTGTCAAAGGCTTTCTGACAATCCAAAAATATGCAGTCTGCCCACCCCTCTCTTTCTTGTCTGATTCTTGTTGCCTGATCGTAGAATTCAATTAATCCTGTGAGGCATGACTTGCCATCCCTGAAACCATGTCGGTGTTGTGTCACAAAGTTCCTTCGCTCCAGATGTTCCACTAGCTTTTTTCGCACAATTTTCTCCAGTAGCTTGCATGGTATGCAAGTTAGGGACACTGGCCTGTAGTTCAGTGCCTCCTGTCTATCCCCCTTCTTGTATATCGGGACTACGTTTGCCATCTTCCAAATTTTTGGCAGTTCACCTGTTACCAGTGATTTGTTATACACCATGGAGAGTGGCAGGAACAGTGCTTCTGCTCCTTCCTTTAGTATCCATGGTGATATTCCATCCGGGCCTATAGCCTTTGTTACATCAACTCTAGCAAAAGGTTCCTTACATCCCCACTGGTAATCTCAAATTCCTCTAGTGGTGCCTGGTTAACTATTCCTTCTCTTATTTCTGGAACTTCTTGCTCTAATGTGAATACTTCCTGGAATTTCTTATTGAGTTCCTCGCACACTTTTTTGTCGTTTGTAGTGAATCTGTCTGCCCCTATCCTCAGTTTCATTACCTGTTCCTTCATTGTTGTCTTTGTGTGTGTAAATCATGAAAATTAACACATGATGAAAAATGTAACAGTGTCAGACCACGGAGGAAGAATTGAAACAGGAATTTCCTTAAGTATTATCGTATTTTAATAATACATCTTCAGAAGGAATGATTTACAAGTCAGTAAGTTTGGACATACATAGGTAGGAGAGAGAGAGGCGAAGTGAAGTGAGGCACAATGACATATATATGAATGGGATTAGGTGGATATATACAAGAGCTGCATCATATGGGCCAATAGGTCCATACATGGATGATAATAATAGCATAAGATAGTGTATATTAACAATGAATTGGTGAGACAAATGTATATCAATGATCCTACTCAAATCGCCCTTTAACTGATCAATTAAAAATGGATCTAAATTATATAAACCACTGCTAATGTTCAAATTACATAATTTTGTAATCTGTATTAAAGCAGATTCAATTATGTTCCTTTTGAAAACACTTTTACAATTCGTTATTAAAGAAGCCATCTCCCAATCAATTTGGTGAGAATTTTCTGACAAATGAACAAACAAAGCATTAGACAATTGGCCATACCTTACAGAATATTTATGTTGCAAAATTCTACACTTTCAAGAAAACTGATCAATCTATAAAAATTTTCTTACATCTTATTTTCTATATTCTTAATGTAAATAAGTCACCATGGCACCTAAGAAAGAAAGTAAAAGTGATGAAAGAAAATTACAGTACAGTAGTTAGAACCACGATCGAAGTGAAAAAAGAACTCACAGCAAAATATGAAAGTTGTGACCGCATGTCTGCTCTTGCTACCAAGTTTGGTATGCCTTGTAAGGGCACGAGCTTCTAAACCATACCCAAGAGTACAAGCTATCGAAACCCATCCTTACTTCATCAGGCATTGTTCATGTTAAATGTGTTAGTGGAACCTTTGTGTTCGTGTATCTGGAATTTTACCATTTTAATTGGGCTATTGTAAAGTAACGTAACTACTTTTAAGTCCCGGTTTTTGTGGAACCACTATTTAAAGTAATTCTTATGAGAAGTACACGTTTTGTGAAATTATCACTCTCACTTTAAGTAATCCTGTAAAGTAGATTTAAACTCCAGAAATAAATTTTGTAACCTGTTTAACCCTAGCAGTGAAGTGTGTCTGCCCAGGTATGTTGGTTATTGAATTATTATTAGTCTTAGACCTCTAGTGCCATTTAGTTTCTAAGAAGTAAAGATGGGTTTTGATAACCTGTACTCTAGGTAAGGCTCAGAAGCTCATGCCCTTACAACTTGTTCTGTTTTTGACTAAAAAGTATAGGTTGAACTCTCAGGTACCTCATTTACTACTAAGTGAACTTTGGGTCTGAAGAACCATAGTAAGATACACAGCACCAATGCACTGGAAATAAAGACCTATACAGAGCTAGAGTGAAAAGTTTGTGTAGTGATAACTTCCTGTAGAGGCAGTCCATCCTCTAGAGTTCCACAATGGATAGAAGATGCTGTACTAAAATGTTAGAGCCTAACTTAACATATTGACCCACTTATAGAAAATGTGAATGTTTGTGAAGCACCACGATTTATAGTACAATGTATATCATATTTTCTGTTGGGGATTTTGATGTGAAAATGCAATCCATTATTCAAGAGGATAGGTTGGATAGGGAGTTCATGGATGTAAGGCATTGGGTCTAGAGAATAATAAAACAAAGAATCTCACCTCCAAAGAGAACAGAATGGAACCTTGATGGTATTCCTATCCATTGTTGAAATGTGATTACCCAAGTAAGTGATGCTGCATAGAGTCCACTCGCATCATTTTTGGAGTAATAGTCCAGCAATGCAGGAAATAAGGGTAATATCACAGTGAAACCCAGGAGGTCCAACACCAAACTTATGAACATTACAGCCTGCATCTTGAAAAAAGCCTGAAATATAAAGCATATTTTATTAGAAAAAGAAAAGCATATTTCTATTAGAAAAAGTTTCAATTAATTGAATTATATTATAGAAGGTCCTGAATTTATATAAAAATACCTTTTGATGAGTGATGTCAGTCTATCCTCACCTTTTTAATTCAACTTATAAATGTATTCATTTGTAAGCATAAAATGGATTCCCAGCCAGGATACGAACCCAGGATAAAGCACTCACGAAATGCCAGGCGAGCGTCTTACCACTACGCCACGGGGACTGTGTGTTGGTGTGGTATGGAGGCAGTATAAAGCAATGTGCCCTACGGAAATGATAATACTTGCAGTAACTATTTGGTCAAAAGTATGAATACGTTGTGACAGACCACCAGTAAACCACTTTTAGTACTATTAACTTTATAGTCCAGAAAAATTAGAAAACAAAAATCCAAACTTAAATATTCTTAGGCGTAGTACAGCATATATATGTACTATGTTAGGCCCACGATTGCATATAATAGGCCTACGATTGCTAGGTTAGGTTCTTATATTTAAGTTGCAGTTCAAAATTCTGGTTTGTCCAAATTCAACAATGAAAAAAGTTAATTTTCTCGAGGTCCATCACTATATATTGGTTCTTTCTACCCAGTAGTTGCTATAAGAACTTTCATTTTAGGATGGGCCTGGCGTTCCACGAGCGCTTTGTCCTGGGTTCGTATCCTGGCTGGGGAGGATTGACTGGGCGCAAATCCTTAACTGTAGCCTCTGTTTAACTCAACAGTAAAATGTGTACTTGGTTGTAACAACGATTCTTCGCGGCGGGGATCGTACTCCAGGGACCTGCCCGAAACGCTACACGTACTAGTGGCTGTACAAGAATGTAACAGCTCTTGTATATATATCTAAAAAAAAAACAATTATATTTAAGTTGCGGTTCAAAATTCCGGTTTGTCCAAATTCAACAATAAAAAAAGCTAATTTTCTGGAGGTCCATCACTATATATTGGTTCTTTCTACCCAGTAGTTGCTATAAGAACTTTCATTTATATAAGATGAGGTGTAGTATAAAGAGGAGGAGAGAGCGACAAGGCTTACCGGACGCTGGAGATACCGGTTCAGGTTGGTTTACCGGGAGAGTAACACCTGGACACACCGTGCTGCTAGTGGGCACACTCTCCTCCTCAACACTCACATACAAACAATTAATACAACGTTAACTAAATTCTGAGCATGTGTTATATAGGCAAAACATTAAGCAGAAATTAGAAAGTACAGGGAGGGAGCGAGCGAGTCCCCACCTTGAGAGCGGTGGCAGCTGTACTGACTGACGTTGGACTGTTTACAAACACTCGTAGAAAATGGAAGTTGCGTTCCTCACACATTCATTCATTCACTTATTTATTTATGTGTATTAACAAGCTTAGGTATACTACCTAATAAACTCCATATAACCCACCAGGTTCATAGGTTAAATTCACTTAAACGTGTCCACCTACACTGGACACGTTTAAGTGAATTTATATCCATTCTGTAGTACGGTGACCAAAACTGAACTGCATAATCTAAATAGGTCCTAATCAGATCAAGATATAGTTGAAGAACACCAGGTGTCAGGCTACGGGCTCACCATAGCATGTGCTACTTCTCACCTGGAGGTGTATTTTTAGTATATTAAAATAGATGATGCTTTAGCCTTATCTGACGAACTAGACCAACCTTTCAATCTGAAAGAATTCAAAAGCACTACAAAGAAAACTAAAAAGTCGGCAATTCACTTTATTGCTTACTTATATTCGGTGACAGCACCTCAGCTTCCTCCAACCAGGATGGAAAGAATGTTACCTGTAATTAGGGAAAGGATTATAGCTTCTGTAATTAGTGCTAATTAGTTACGCCATTAAGCTAATGAGAGGCTGTAGTGAGTATATTGTTTGTACTCGCTACAGTTTTATCCATTCCAGTATTCCCCCATTTATTCCATGTGCCCGCAATTTCCTTGCCAGCCTCTTATGTGGTATTTTGTCAAAAGCTTTAGCAAAGTCCATGTAAGCTACATCTACCAGAAGTCCTTTGTCTGAATAGCCGGTTATAGTTTCCAGAAATATGAACAGGTTAGTGAGGCAGGATCTATTTTTTTTAAGAAACCTATGTTGTGTTGATTTTTCAAGATTGTTCTCTGTGAAATGTTGTATGATTCCCACCCTTGGGATTCTCTTCATGAGCTTGCTGATGTGCGATTTATTTATTTATTTATTTATTTATTTATTTATTTATTTATGCATATACAAGAATGTACATAAGGAATGTGAGGATACAAATATGGTAATTACAGTCTTGTAAAGCCACTAGCACGCACAGCGTTTCGGGCAGGTCCTTAATCTAAGAAAATTTTAAGGAGGTAAATACTTGCAAAATTTATAGACAAAAAATGATAACAGATTACATGGAATGAAAAAAAAGATGAGAGAAAATTATAGGTACAGTATATTAAAGCACATAGGTAGCTATGATTGATTGCAATGACAGCTTAAAATGGTAGTTGACAACAAATTGGTAGGCACAATACAGCAGAAACAATATAAGATTGATTGCAATGACAGCTTGAATGGTAGTTGACAAAAAATTGGTAGTCACAATACAGCATATGGCTAGCACATAAAAGAAGACAGCAATGAACACAATGATAAGGTTGTTTGATATTACATAAAAATTAGGAGATTGGGTAAAAACTGTTGAGACAGTAGTTTTCTGCCGAGTTCTTTCTGCCTTTTTTGATAACAGGGGTGACTTGCATATTTCCAATCCTGGGGAACTATCTCTTGGTCCAGGATTTTCTGAAAATGAGTTTCAGTGATATGCATAGTGCATTTGCGAGTTTCTTTACAACTTTGGATTGAAATCCATCCACAGCTGGAGCTTTTGAGTCTTTTGAGTCCCCTGGCTTTGCCTGCATCTCAAATTGCAAATTGTTACTTACAGTGTACCTGAGGGTACTTGTAAGCAATCTACCTCATGTTTCATTTTTGCTCAATTTGTTTTTGTATTGCTTAGTCTTGTTTATATTTTTGTTTTGTATTTCTATATCTTGTGTTTTGTATAGTCCATGTTTATATGTTTTTTCGTTAATCTCATTTATTACCTAGGTTGCCTAGCCTAGCCATACTCCCTTACTCTATTGTACCCCTGTAAGCCCCTTTTGTGTTTGCTTTGTACAGTATTGTGTACATTTTTTTCCCCTATTTTATAGCGTATTTCTACCTTGTTATTTGCCTTTCTTCCCTTGTTTTTCCTGCAATCAGCTTTTTTTATGCAGACAAGTATAGACCCTGAACTTAACCTCTTATCCACTATCTATGACAATTATCACTTTAATGATCTAAATTGCAGATATTTTGCAGCACATGATGTAAACAATGTATTAACTCATAATCACAATATCTCTGTAATCAATTTGAACGTTAGATCCTTAGGTAAACACTTCGATGATGTTAGTGCTTTGATTGAAGCTATTGACAACAAATTCTCTTTTATTATACTTACTGAAACATGGTTGAAAGAGGATACTACTCAGCTCTTTAACATGCCTAACTACTCAGCAATTCACAACTGTCGTCAACTTCAGAGAGGTGGTGGCACTGCTCTTTACTACCACCAAGAACTAACATGCTTAAAAGAAATTAGAACCAGAGACTGCTATGGGGAGTATATCTTCGCCAGCTTCAGAGTCAAGGGTGCCGAGTCTGTCCTGACTGTGGGTGCAGTTTATAGAATTCCTAACACTGATGTGTCCGAATTCAACTCAAACCTTAGAAATCTAATACTTGATAACAGACTGAACAAAAACCACCTAATTATCGCAGGGGACTTTAATATTGACCTCTGCGAGCCTGAACACCCTACTGCTGTTAGCTTCCTCAACTGTATGAATTCCTGCTTCCTCATACCCTTAATCACTAGACCTACTAGAATCACTGATAGCACTGCCACGACGCTAGATCACATCTGGACAAACATAACCTCTCCGCTTACTTCAGGTATAATCACCGATAGCACTACAGACCATTACCCCACATTTCTCTTAACTAACATTAGCAAACCACCTCTTGAGTCAAGAGTGATACGTTTTAGACTACACAATGAAACTGCTATAGACAATTTTATAACTGCTGCTGATAATGTCAACTGGGAGTCCGAGTTAGGTAACATAGTGGACATCAACCTAGCAGTGCAATCTTTTCTTCAAAAAACTCTTAGCCTTTATAATACCCACTGTCCTATGCTTACAAAACAAGTCACAACCAAAAGGCTTAACTATTGACCTTGAGAAGAAGTATAGGTTAGGAATTGTCTCCAAAGAATTCTCAAAGAATTACTCATTATTGCTGTCTAAGATAATTAGACGAGCCAAAACTAAATACTACGAAGATAAATTTAACCAAATAAAGAGCAACATTAAACAAACTTGGAGAACAATTTCTCAAATATTGGGATCAAAGAAGTCTTTAAATAACAAACCGACTCTCCTGTCTAATAACGATGGTCAGCTTTCAGCCTCTGATTCTGCTATTGAGTTCAATAGGTTCTTCTCTTCCATTGGTTCATCCCTTGCAAATGATATTCCATCTTCCAGTACAGACATTAAGGACTATCTTACAGGTAACTATCTACAGTCTCTGTACCTAAAGCCTATTAATTCCACTGACGTCAATGAGATAATCCTTTCCCTTAAAACCAAGTCTGGTGCCCTTGAGGAGATTCCAACTTTAATTTACAAAAAAGCCTCCAGATCTTTAGCCCCTGCTATTGCTTTGCTCTTCAACAAGTCACTTGAACTCCAAACCTTCCCAGATACTCTAAAAAAAAAGCGAGAGTAACGCCTGTCCACAAATGTGGTAATCTCACAGATGTTAACAACTACAGACCTATATCTATCCTGCCAAACTTGTCAAAAAATTTTGAAAAACTAATCTATAAGCAGCTTTACTCATATCTAGCCAAACTCAATATACTTAGCCCTTGCCAATATGGCTTCAGACCCAAAAGAAGCACTAACGATGCACTTATTAGTATGCCTAACTCGATTCATACAGCTCTTGATAAAAATGAGTTCCCTGTTGGGTTGTTTGTGGACCTGCGTAAAGCTTTTGATACTGTCAACCACCAAAACCGTCTTCTTAAATTACATTATTATGGAGTCAGAGGACACTCCCTACAATACCTCAAATCCTACCTTACTGACAGGCTCCAATATGTTTCTGTGAATAATACAATTTCTCCCACCCTACCCATCAACATTGGTGTTCCCCAGGGCAGCATACTTGGCCCTCTCCTCTTTCTCATCTACATTAATGACCTTCCAAATGCCTCCCAACACCTCAAACCAATTCTATTTGCTGACGACACAACCTTCATTTACTCCAGTCCTGATCCCCTTGCTCTAAATGCCACAGTAAATACTGAGCTAAATAAAGTCCATCTGTGGCTAACTGCCAACAAACTCACCCTTAACATTGACAAAACCTTCTATATTCTGTTTGGCAATAAATCCTCTAATCAAATAAATCTCAAAATAAACAATACCCAAATTTGTAACAAATTAGATGGCAAATTCCTTCGCATTCTCATTGACCACAAGCTGAATTTCCAGGGACACATTCTAAACATATCAAAAAAAGTTTCAAAAACTGTGGGCATTCTTTCTAAGATCAGATATTATGTACCACGCCCTGCCCTGGTGACTCTCTATTACTCCCTTATCTATCCATATCTCAACTATGGTATTTGTGCTTGGGGCTCTACTACCCAAAATCACTTACGTCCTCTAATTACTCAACACAAAGCTGCTATTAGGACAATATCCAATTCTGGCCCCAGACATCACTCGGTACCCCTACTCAAATCTCTGAATATGTTAGACATTAAGTCACTGCACATTCTCTCGTGTGTATTATACATATATAAAACGCTAAACTATAATGCCAATCCTGATCTCAAAAGCTTCATAGAAGGTTGTAACAGAACCCATGAGCACCACACCAGAAATAAATACAGTTTTGATATTCCTAGAGTACGACTTAATCAAACTAGAAATGCTCTACAAATCAAGGGGCCCAGAATGTGGAATGACCTTCCCAACCATGTTAAAGACTGTACCTCTCTCAACCAGTTTAAGTTAAAAGCGAAGCTATACCTAATAAATTCCCTGTAACCTACCTTACCCTTCTATTGTCAACCAATGTCTGTTTTTTCTTTAAAGAGCGCTGTTTGTCGACATAATTGTATTTGTGCTGCTTTTTCATCTATGTTTTCATTTCTTGTTTTCATTCTACT